AAAAAAAAAAACTGGGCCTTGACCAAAAAACTTTGTTGTTAAAATTATCTTTCTTTTACAAAGTATACATTCTTAGTGTGATAAAACATCCTTGAGGATTTTGCAGTGAATTTGAATACTGTTTGCTAATAAATAATACATATATATAGGGAACTGGGCTAAAGGGTATTGATCCAGCCCTAGGAGATTGTTCTGTTTTATAAAATGAAAGCTGTCATGCTAGATTGACAGCTTAGTAGTCAACAAAACTTTATTCTAAGAAGGGCAAAAACCCTTCCAGAGGTTAGGTTAATTGGGACTTGTCTAGGTAAGAATATATTGAATTATAATGGAAAAGAAATTGTGCATGTGAAAATTTGTTTCTTACCAACATACTAATTTGAGGAAGCTTGCAAATATACCTTTTGACTACTAATTCCATTTCTAGAAGTCTTATCTGAGGAAATATGGGGAGAGTGAGGTGGAAATAAAACTGAGTGAAAAGACACATGTCACTGTGTTACTTTAAAAAGGAAAATTGTTAGAAAGTATAAAGAAAATACAATACAAAATTGTACAGGCACACCTCTTTATTTCAGTTCACTTTATTGTGCTTTACAGCTGTTTGGTTTTTTATAAATAGGTTTGTGGCAACCCTGTCAATAGAGCAAGTCTATTGATACCATTTTTCCAGCAGCATTTGCTCACCTCATGTCTGTGTCACATTTTGACAACTCTCAAAATATTTCAAACTTTTTCATTATTTGTTACAGTGATCTGTGATCAGTGATTGACTCACTGGTAATGGTTAGCTCTTTTAGCAATAAAGTATTTGTTCATTAAAGTATGTACATTGTTTAGGCATAATGCGATTGCATGCTTAATGGATTATAGTACAGTGTAAACATAACATATATACTGGGAAACCAAAAAATCTGACTCACTTTATTGCAGTATTCACTTTATTGTGGTAGTCTGGAATTGAACTTGCAATATCTCCAGGTATGTCTGTAGTGTATTTTGAAGAGACACATGAAGGTCTTCTAACAAATAGTTGTCATTATTTCTAGGTCCCAAAGTTGTTTCCAAAGAAATTCCAGTAGAATCCATTGAAGAGGTTTCTAAGATAATTAAGAGAGCCCCAGTAATCTGGGATAACATTCATGCTAATGATTATGATCAGAAGAGACTGTTTCTGGGCCCATACAAAGGAAGATCCACAGAACTCATCCCACGGTTAAAAGGAGTCCTGACTAATCCAAATTGTGAATTTGAAGCTAACTATGTTGCTATCCACACCCTTGCCACCTGGTACAAATCAAACATGAATGGAGTGAGAAAAGATGTAGTGATGAGTAAGTAGATTTCTTAATCCTTGACCTTGGGAGGAAAGCTGGTTCTAACTAGAGCCATTAGCAAGTACATATTCCTTTGTCATCACAGAGAGGTGTTTTAAGGTGTGTTGTTTAGTTCTATGAGTTTTATATGTCTCTGTGTGTGTATACATGATAGAAGGACTGACTGCCTTTGTACAAGGTACTTAACCTCTTGACCTCAGTTCTTTTTATTTTTTTAATATGACTTAGCCTTGGTAATCTGAGTACTAGACAGTGTAGTCGTTTAGTGTTCCTATTTCTAGAATTATTCTGATTCATTGTGTGTTTTCAGGTGATATTATTAAATGAGGTACTTTAAATGACTAGATAATTGTTAACTGAATTACTTGATATATCATTTATTTCCAGCTTAAACATTTATGGAACATATTCTCATTATAGACATTGGCTTACAGATTTTTTTATTTATGTAGAATTCTTAATTGAGTTTTAAGTAAGAGAATGCTGGCTAATTGTTTCATTCATTAACATTTAAGCACCTACAGTGTGGCAAGTGCATCTTCCTGGGCACTTAGGATGCAAAGAGTGAAGTCGCTTTTGAAGAACATAGTCTGGTGTTGGATAAAGCAGAGAGGCAACTGTACTATAGTATGACGAGTGCTGAAATAATTATCTACAAAGTGCTGTGGGAACACAGGAGGGAGTGATTACTTCTAAGCAAAGTGGTGGTAAAAAATGATTTCATAGAGGAGGGATACTTAAGCTGGGTCAGAGTATGAGTAAAATTTGCTGGGCATTAAAGGATTGGTGGGCTGGAAGTGAAAACATTGGACCCTGAAATTTAAAATTATCTGAGTTTGGCCCATTTGGGGATATCGAAATGTCACATGCTTGGTGGTGTGTGGTTACATCGTTGTGTCCTGTTTCTTAGTTTTATACTTCTATTTCCAATTCCATTTATTGAATTAATGACTCCCCTTAGGCTTAATCGTGGCCATCCCTCTCTCCCCAATAAAAAACACAAAATTAAGGATATAATTTCAATCCCTTTTGTATATAATACCTACTGTGTACTTAGTGCATTCCTGTTTTAAGGGAAAATGTGAAGCACACTGAGTAATAGACATTAGACAGACTGGGCTTTGTGCAGGGAAATGAGAAAGAAAGCTAAGAAACAGAGTTTTGAACACCAAGCCAGTGAGTTCAGACTTAATTTTCTTTACCACTCTCCTGGTTCAGAGCTTCATTATATGCTTAATGCCTATGCTCATATCTGGGCTCTTTAGATTTTCTCTTCCCCCTCAAATCATTTATTAATATGACCATTATTTTTTCAGTTTGTAAATTATTAAGTCTATTAAGTTACACGCCCCTGAAGAGTAGGAAATGTTTTATGAAAATCATAGTGCCTTTAGCCTTGTTTTTCCCAATAATTGGTACTCATTGGACACTTAAAATGACTTTTAATACAGATTCTAAAATTCGTATTTTTTAAAATTTCAGTTGGGATTTTACATTTAACAGTGTAGTTAAATGGCTGTTCTAGGTGAAGTGGTTCAGTGAAGGGTCTTCGTTGTGTTTACATTATGTTTAAGTTTTGTTCTTGTTCCAGGTCTTGGTTCTCTGGTTTTACTGTAACAAGTGTTTTGCATTTGTGCCTCTGACTTGTGTAATCAAAACTGATTTTGTGGTCTTTCTGTTTTGCAGCTGACAGTGAAGACAGTACTGTATCGATCCAGATAAAGTTAGAAAATGAAGGCAGTGATGAAGATATTGAAACTGATGTACTCTATAGTCCACAGATGGCTCTAAAGTTAGCGTTAACAGAATGGTTGCAGGAGTTTGGCGTACCTCATCAGTACAGCAGTGAGTTTGGCTGTTCTTTGTAAGCAGGTTGGATCCTATAGTCGAGGCGTAAAGAATGTTGTGCTGTGCCTTACGAACAATAGGTCCACCACACAGAGTGAAATTTAGGGATCTAGAGAATAAGGTTTTAAAAATATTACTTTGGTCTTAAATAGCTTTTATTGATAGAATGCTAATTTGTTTTAAAAACATCTTCTCTGAAATAATTACTAGAGTGTTTTTAAATACAAATCTCTGAAAGAGAAGATAATAGGCATTTTGAAGGATGTTTAATGTCTGTTTTCTTCCCTCCCCACCTCCCTAGTGGTTTAGAGAAATTTAATTTTTCACAGGGCCCAAATTATTTGGAATCTCAAGTTAAGAATCCAGTTATAGATACAATAAGAAAACATTTCCCTAGATGTAGTTATGTTCTTATCGTTTCTGATTCTGATAATCTTTGTGGCAATTTGTTTTCACAGGTAGACAAGTTGCACACAGTGGAGCTAAAGCAAGTGTAGTTGATGGGACTCCCCTAGTTGCAACACCTTCTTTAAATGCCACAACTGTAGTAACAACAGTTTACCAGGAGCCCATTATGAGCCAAGGAACAGCCTTGAGTGGTGAGCCTACAGTTCTGACCAAGGAAGATGAAAAGAAACAACCAGATGAGGAACCCATGGACATGGTAGTGGAAAAACAAGAAGAAACAGACCACAAGAATGACAATCAAATCCTGACTGAAATTGTTGAAGCTAAAATGGCAGAGGAATTGAAACCAATGGACACTGATAAAGAGAGCATAGTTGAATTAAAATCCCCAGAGATGTCTATGCAGGAAGATTGCATTAGTGATATTGCACCTATGCAGACTGATGAACACACAAACAAGGAGCAGTTTGTGCCAGGTCCAAATGAAAAGCCTTTGTATGCTGCAGAACCAGTGACTCTGGAGGATTTGCAGTTACTTGCTGACCTTTTCTACCTTCCTTATGAGCATGGACCCAAAGGAGCACAGATGTTACGGGAATTCCAGTGGCTTCGGGCAAATAGCAGTGTTGTCAGTGTCAATTGCAAAGGAAAAGACTCTGAAAAAGTGAGTATGCTTAATTTACCTGTTTCTCTCGCCATTCTGATGATACGGAGGTGGACTTAAAGGAGTACACTGGTAACTGGCAGAAAATTGACCATATTTTAAAAAATGTTCAGTGAAGTGAATGTGGACTCTGCTGAATCTGGTACATATAGTTCCATAGTTCTGCTCTTAAGAGTTAGGAATAAAGGAAAGTCAAAGTCAATCATTTCAGGGAACACTTTGCAGTTTGGAGAGAGACAAATTTTGTATTGCTTGTCTAAGGATTTGAAGCCCGGTTATTTGTTAATGCTTAGGATAAATTGCAGGTACCTGATAACATTAATAGCTTAGTTTTTAACTTTTATTTTGTTACGCTTGCAATTTTTTGAGTCTTTTTATTAATCCTCAATAGATTGAAGAATGGAGGTCACGAGCAGCCAAGTTTGAAGAGATGTGTGGACTAGTGATGGGAATGTTCACTCGGCTCTCCAATTGTGCCAACAGGACAATCCTTTATGACATGTACTCCTATGTTTGGGATATCAAGAGTATCATGTCTATGGTGAAGTCTTTTGTACAGTGGTTAGGTAGGTGCACCAGGAATAATCTCTTCTCAGATATATTGTCCCTTAAAAAAAAAGATTATCCCATATGGAGAAAAATATTTAGGGAATTGGCAAATTTCCAACTCTGAATTCTTTGCCTTGATTTCTTCGAGGTACAGGCATTATTGCAGACTTGAGGTGCAAGTCTCAATAAATAATGGAACACTGGTTTTTCTCCCTTGGGCTAATTCAGCATAAATATCTTGTAAATGTGTTAGAAAGTACTGACTTTAACTTGCTCTGACTGAATGCTTCCTGGATGGAACCCTGTGGAGCACTTTTATCTGATTTGGAGATGAGACACTATGAATTGTGACTCTGTAAGCTCTCTGCTGCTTGCTGTGTCTTGATAACATTAATGCTGCATTTAACAGAACAATTGCCGAAATGACCTAAGGGGCCTGGCAAGAGGAAACCATCCTCCCAGCCCTGTGCGCATGCGAGTTTTAGTGGTAGGCTATTCTGGTGCTACTTAGTATTATTTCACATGGCCTTTTCTTTATCCCTCTACCAAGTAATTGGTTTTAGCAGGGGATGGAAATTGCAGTCCCCTAAAAACACTCTTGCTCATTAAATGGACTTCATTATGTCTCCTTTGAAAACTGATTTTTTGGGAAATTCTCTATCTTGTTAAAAAGCACCAGCATGGCCAAGTTTCTCCAGGGACTTCAACTTCATTTACAGGTTTTCAGTCCAGCTGTAAGAAATATATAATAAATGAACTTACATACAGCACACAGCAGGCAGCAAGGCTATACCTGACATGTCATAGTTTTCATAGTAGTCACAAATATTATGATGGGTTACTTGGTTTGGTTGTGAAACACTGTGAGCTTAGATTAAGGAGTAGTAGAAATGAGATTTTCCACCTGTGTACTTTTTAGACTCTTAAATATTAATAGTTTTCCTGTGACACAACTAATTACCAGCTCAAAGTAGAGTCTCTGGTTGTTAATTTGAAGATACAGAACATGTGGTTTTTGAATATATATCACAACAGGTAGGAGAGAGAATTTTGACCTTGTTAAAAGGCTCCAAGAAAACTCTTCTGTAATAGATGTCTGCTCTTAGGCTCAGGAAGAGCCTTGTATATTGGTTTCTGGATGACTGTATTTGCCTTCCATGGCTTCTGGCCAGGGGTTATAATTAACCCTTACAGGGATTTAAATGTTGAAGTTTTCAATCTGAAATCTGGGTTATTGAGTTTGAGAAAGTATCACATAACACACTTGATATTCAGCTTATAATTCAAGAATTACTAAAAACTAAGTTCTTGACCATACACAGTGTAACTTCTTTTTTCCTCTCATGCTTTACCTCTGTGTACTGTGCAATTAATTATGGGAGCAGCTGTTGCAGATTGTATAAATAGCTGTTGAATAACCTCATGGTCAGAGTACCTTAGAAATTTTAAATAATCATCTTGACATCCACATATCTTTATAAAATCTCTTGGTAGGGAGAGTATTTTTACAGTTCTATAAGTCATTTCAGGGAGTTACTGATAAGAACCCTTTGTTTTTCTCCTTTCTCCAGTCCAGCTGGCATTCAGTCCTTTAAAGAATGTGGCTATGCAGTACTTTTGATTACTAACGACTTCTATTATCTTCTTCCCCATTGTGTACAGATGGGAGAATCCTCAGCACAAGTGTCTACTACTATTGGATGGACAGCGGCAGATGTTCACAGCGCGTCATGATTAATTAGCTTAAATTGAAAGGTTCTATCTGTGAAGTAGCTCAGATTTAAGGGCAGTAGGCATGAACTGAAGTCACGTTTGCGCAGCGACTTGAGGCATTAACTATGTTTTCATTTACACAGCTCTTCGTACATGCAGCTTTTTATTGTAATAGTTGGAAGTGCTAGTTATGTTGTAGTCTCAAAGTGGGGGGTAGGGGAAATTGGCTGGTCTTAAAGTTTGAGAGGTGTAGTGTTTTCCTGCCGTGTAAATTTACACTGAGCTATGAAATGGGGCAGGTTCTCTTTATAGCCTAAATTTTGACCCTACTTCATATTTACTTTATAAATATTACATTATACATGTTTTTTTTTTAAAATACCCCTACCCCTAAAGAATGACAAACTTGGATAAAAATCTCTTAATGGGCCTGAAATGTCAACAAAAAAATTGGTTTGCTTTGGGACTGTCTGACTAGCACACTATATCTTGTACTGATGAGACTGTTAACTTGAACAGGAGGTAGAATGCTGTCTTCAAATGGAAAAGAACTATATTGCGCTGCTTTTCTCTTGTCAGAAGACTAGGCAAGTGATTTTGATTTGACCTCCAAATATTTGTCTTTAATTATCTCTTAATATGTTAGCTGCTTTTATTGCCTATGCAGTTGGTTAAGTAAGTGGCAACTGTGATGATAACTTCAGATCTCAAAGCGTGCCATTCTATGCATGTGTTCAGTGCACTGCAAAGATCATAATGGTCAATCAGAGGGAGCCACATACTGTTTTAAGAAAAGTATGTCTGAGCTCTAGGCAAATTAGGAGCATCAGTTGGCTCTAGTTTGTTCTCACAGTGTCGGACTGGTGTTATTACTAGCCAAGTCTGAATTTGGATTGTTCTAAGTTCTCATTGTGTTTCACTGTCAACTTAATGAGCAGTTACTTTTACTCTGCTGACCTTAGTTTTCTGACAAGATTAACCCTTTCCCTTGTTCCCTTTCCTGTACCCTTCCTCAAAATACAAAATGTGACTTCAGACAGGTTTAATTCCTTCATTTCATGGGCTGTGATAATAAAATGTCTCATTACATATCTCATTCATTTCACTTTATAGTTACTGTAATTTCACTAGAGAATAAGTAGCTGACTTGATTTTTATAGCCGTATCTAGAGAATATATAAACTTGACCCAGACAAACTTGACACTTACTTTCCTTCCCATAATTAAAGGGTAAAACTCTTTAACGGTGATCTGTTAATGATTAATCAGTCATTAACCGGAGGAAGGAGCATTGTTATTGAAATTCCATTATGACTTAAAATTATTATCACAGCCTTGTCCTGAAACCCTGGATTATTATTGTTACCTATTTCCACAAAGTGTTTATATTAGTTTGTTGGACATTTGAGACCCCAGGAAATCCCCTTTCTCGTAACATTCTCCGCTTGGATCTAATCTCAACAGGGTGTCGTAGTCATTCTTCAGCACAGTTCTTAATTGGAGACCAAGAACCCTGGGCCTTTAGAGGTGGTCTAGCAGGAGAGTTCCAGGTATCAATATGAATTCACAACTGAATTGACATTTTCTTTGTTTTATGAGAAACCTTATGTTGCGCATCAGATGGCTGGAAGGATTGGTCTGCCGAAGGCTTTCTAGTCCCAAATTCAATTTAGTTACATAGCTGGATTTTAAATCAAATTTTCCTCCTCTTTCACAGTAATTTCTGAAGGAGATGCTGCCAATTCCCCCCGCGCCTGCGAAGCGCTGCGGCTCTAGGTACACACTTCACATTGTTTCTTTGCAGGTCGCACAGCATTTTAATCTGCGCCCGCAATGCACAATGCGCGCATGCTTGTCTGCCAGTGAAAACTCCATGAGCAAAAGGAATGAGTAATCACGCAAGTGAATGGGATTTGGATATTTTCCCCATACTTTATAAATAAAACTTGTGCTTGAAAGAACAGTCCATTAATGAAACAAAAATTTGAACAACAAGTGAAGGTTTTTTGGTGTTGGAATTTGTTCATGGACTTTTCAGGTGCTCTACTTTTCTCCCCCCAACAGGTGCTCTGCTGCGCACAGCAAACTGAAGCGCATTGCTTTGGGGATAAAGCGTCTCCTGGACAGATAACCCTCTTCAGACCAAACCTCTCCTCCTGACATTTTGTTCTGCCATCTTTTAGTAGAGAGATGGTCTATATAAAATTGGTTAAAAAAAAAAGATTTGTCATAGTTGGAATAGTTTTTTTGTTTTTGTTTTTTTACTGTAAATTTAAATCCCTATTAATACTTCACTAAAGCTATGTAACTCAGTTTGGGTAATTTCAATTCAGAAGCACTCCCCTTGCCCAGCAAAGAAGTGTTTATATTAGTAAAGCATAGTATGCCCCTCTTCTTTAGGTCTGCCTGCAGTAGCCAGTTAATGTTAAGTTGGTAATCTGCAGTGCACACCCGTTTAAAAAAATGGATATCTTCTCAACACTAATCCATCTCCTTTTTTTTCTTCCCACAGCGTTTGCTGCCAATTGATGGGGCAAATGATCTCTTTTTTCAACCACCCCCACTGACTCCTACTTCCAAAGTTTATACTATCAGACCATATTTTCCTAAAGATGAGGTAATTGTCTACCTACCAACTAATTGTATGGTTATAGTGCATACCTAATACTTTGGAGTCCCTGGTTAAAAGAATCACTTCTGTGTTGAAATACAAACTCTAGTTGGACAAAGTTTACTAAAACAAACACAGGAGGAGGTGGTATTTAAGAAAGACCCTATGGTGTTAAGACTTAACACCATCTCTAGCTAAGTCCTTTCCATTCCTCTCTTTAAAAATCAGAAGAAATATATTCAAGAATTACTAAACAGTCAGTGTGCCTAAGTGATAGTTTATCTTTGGCTGATTTTCTTCATTGTAGTTTTCAGTTGTGCAAATACCTATAAGGTATTGGCAGTCAGGTACAGAAAAAATCCTGCTTAAAGACAGTAGCATGTTTAAACATTTCAGATGAGATTGACTCAATCTCTTGCTGGACTTTGAATCCACTACTTAGTGCCAAAACCATCCACTGTAAAACAGTTCTCAGTGTTTATAACCATGCTGTTTTCTACTGGTCTTACAAATATGACTCAATGAATAAATCTATTTATAACAAAGCAGAGGTGATATTTATGACAGGTTAGACATCTTGTCATTCCCTCTCCTAGAAGTTCAGTATGACAGAAGTCCTGTTGTTAAATTCTCTTGCTATTCTTGATGTGTTGCTTAACTAGATTATATTTTCAGGCTTCTGTGTACAAGATTTGCAGAGAAATGTATGACGATGGAGTGGGTTTACCTTTTCAAAGTCAGCCTGACCTTATTGGAGACAAGTATGTGAAAAAGTATTTGGATTTGTTGTATGTGGGAGTAGACATTTCATAGCCAGATTTATCAGGATGGAGGGGGATAGGATGGAGGGAGGTGATGACTGGAAATAAATATGGTTTTTTAGAAATCCCACTTTAGTTTTAATAAACTCTGAATATAAATGTGTATCCAGAGTCTTAGACCAAATGTAATTTCTATAGGTTGTTAAGTCATTGGGCCTTACATCCCTGAAGTATGCAGTTTTTTAACTTTTAAACTCACTTGGCCCTCTTTTCTTCTGAGCAGGTTAGTAGGAGGGCTGCTTTCCCTCAGCCTGGATTACTGCTTTGTACTAGAAGATGAAGATGGCATATGTGGTTATGCCCTGGGCACTGTAGATGTGACCCCCTTCATTAAGAAATGTAAAATTTCCTGGATTCCCTTCATGCAGGAGAAGTATACCAAGCCAAATGGTGACAAAGAACTCTCTGAGGCTGAGGTAACAACATAGGTTTAGAATTATACTATTATATATATATTTTAATAAAGTACTTATGAAAATAAAGCAGGTAAATCTTAAAATCTTAGTACTTTATACATTTCTTGCAGAAAATAATTCTTAGGGCTTATTCTTAGCATGACATTTTCCACTCTTACCTCAGCATTGGGATAGTTTTTAATTTGGAAGCATTTATTGTAATACTTCCTTAACTAACAACACAACATAGAGAACCTTTGTTTTCCCTCCCTGTTTTGAAGCACCAAATTTAAAGCTGTTAATGGGTATTGAGGGCAAGTTTAGGTAATTAAAATCTGATTTGCCTGGTTGTTAGAAGGCCAACTTGCTTTCTCAGTAATGTGTTTATTATAATTTAAAAATAATAGGGATGAGCTTCTTTGAGAGTTTCTTAAAGGAACACTTCCCTTTACATGCCTGCTCTTCCCAACTGAAGTGAATTTTTCCTCTAAAACGTGCTTTGTGCTCGACATTGATCCACATTTATGCAGTGTGTTCCACATTGGTCAGTTTACAATTATTGGTTTATACGTTCAGCATATGCGTTTTAAAAAATAGTTCCCTGAGGATAATTTTTATGCTCTCAATAAATACTTTGAGATATATATTTGGACTCTTATTTTTCTTTATCCTTGCTTTCTTTTTTCCCATGTTGCTTCTCTTTCCCCAAATTTCCTACTTCTCTCCTCCACACTGTTCTCTCTATAGCTTATTACTATTTAACTTCTGCCCCTAGCCAGATGGCTATGTAGTAAGAGGCTGGTTGGGAGTAGCCTTGCTTATTTGGGATTTCATTGACACTGACTGCAGCCATCCTGTGATGGAGCTGTTGCTGTTACATATCTGACAGTTTTTAGCATATAGGAACATATAAAGAAGGACCACAACCAGTGTGTTTATTACAAACTTAAAAAAAAAATTGTTAAAATATACATAACAAAATTAACCACCTTAAACATTTGTAACTGTATAGTTAAGTAGTGCTAAGTACAGCCATATTTTTGTGCAAGCAATATAAATTTTAAAATGTTTTATTTTGAGTGATTTTAGATTTACAGAAGTTAGAAAGATAATACAGAGTTCCTGTATACTTCTCAACCATTTTCTACATTTTTCCAAGTCTAAGAAAACAGTTGGTACATTATTAGAAACTCCATTTTTGACTCATCAGGTTTGCTTTTTATTTTCTTTAATAAAGGTATCGTTGATATACAATCTTCTTATGAAGATTTTACATGACCAACATTATGGTTTCAACATTCACCCATATTATGAAGTCCCTCCCTCACACCCCATTGTAGTCACTGTCCATCAGCATGTTAAGATGCTATAGAGTCATTAACTTGTCTCCTCTGTACTCATCATTTTTACTAATATCCTTTATCTGTTCCAAAATCCAGTCCGGGCACCACATTACACTTAGACAAACTGTTTAAAAGTGAAAACACTTGAACTAAAATTACAAGCAAGTTAATTCTGCATGTGATAATTTCATAATGACTGGATGAGTTATTGAATGTTGCTTTCCTTTTCCTGCTGCTGAGTTCTGTAGTTGGGATATAGATATATAATGAGAGCTACTGAAAGTCAAGAGATTTTTAATTTTTACAGAAAATAATGTTGAGTTTCCATGAAGAGCAGGAAGTACTGCCAGAAACTTTCCTTGCCAACTTCCCTTCTCTGATAAAGATGGATATTCACAAAAAAGTAACTGACCCAAGTGTAGCTAAAAGCATGATGGCTTGCCTCCTGTCTTCACTGAAGGCTAATGGTGAGTATATATTTGTGGAATTGCTGGGTTTGGGGTTGGTGGGGACAGGACTATATTTTAGGATGAAAAGGAGTGAATTATGGTCGATTTACATTCCTTTCCTCCACCACTTATGGTTTGACTTCTGAATTATTAGTGGTATAAAAATTACATCTGTATTAATCATTGGAAAATGCTGTTCTTTTACATTATGAATGCTTACTTGGAGCCCCAGTTAAAGAGTGAACACATGGGGTTATATTTATTTTGCTAGGAGACTCATAAATGATACTTGAAAATTAAATGAACCTTGGGAAGAAACTTGATTTAGTAATGCAGGATTGGATTTTTTTTGAGTTTGTTACCTAAACTCAACTTAAAAAACTTCTTGCTTTACATTAGTGGTATGAAAATTTTTCTGTGAAGTGACATATAGTAAATATTCTAGGCTTTAAGGGCCATGTAGAGTTTCCATTACATTCTTTTTTTAAACAATCTTTTGAAAATGTAAAAAAAAGTTTTTTTTTAATCCTTGGGCAATACAAAACGGGAAGTTTGTTGAGCCCTCATGAAAGAGTTGTTGACAGATGAGAGTACACTTACTGTTGTATCTGTATCATTTGAGTCAGTGGTTTTCCCCTTTGTGGGGTAATTTAGACAACTCTGAATAAAGCATAATTCTCAGTGTTTTGCTTGGAGAACTGGGTCATGCAGGTATATGAGGTATGTCTTAGAATATACAACATATGGTTATATTGGCTTGTGACATAGGTTGGAATAGGCTCTGCCCTGTGGGCCCCTCAGTGGTACTTTATATTAAAAAATTAAACTGCCGTACAGATTTTACAGTCTTTCTCCCAAAACTCTTCCCCTTTCTGGGAGAAGAGTTTCACTTGCGGTTGAGTTTTGTTAAGTTGAGGTATATTTGAAAGTTAAGAATAAAATGTATGTAAGATGTACAATTCAATGATTTGAAATACATGGTGAAATAATGGCCACAATTAAGCTAGTTAATATATCCATCACTTAAGATATTTACCACTGTAATTGATGATACTACTATTAATGAGAATTTTAAAAATAAATTTAGGGGCTGGTATAGACAAGTTCCTATGATCTGTTTGAAATATATTGAAGATTAATCACAATTCATACCCGTAATTCTACTAATTGACATTTACATTTTGAATGTTTGTTTTATTTCTAGGCTCCCGGGGGGCTTTCTGTGAAGTGAGACCAGATGATAAGAGAATTCTGGAATTTTACAGCAAGTTAGGCTGTTTTGAAATTGCAAAAATGGAAGGATTTCCAAAGGATGTGGTTATACTTGGTCGGAGCCTGTGACATTTGTTGGCAATATGAACTGTCCAAAAGTCTCAACTTCACCTGGTGGGTGGTGGTTGGGGTCTTCGTTCATTTCAGCCTCTGGAGTGGCAACAAATCAGCCGTTTGGGATTGGAAACAAAGAAGACTGTGTAAAACTCACCTATCACACTTGGAGAATACTCACTGGTGTTAGAACATAGTATTGCTGCAAATCCTGTATGAGTCAGAGGTTTGGGCCTCCTTTTTATGTTTTGTGTTAGATGCCAAGACTTCTACACATGTAATCTACATGGGATTACAGGGTGAGGGTCTTGAATAAATGTAGTCAGCACTGTTTTCTGCATCCAGTGTGGTTGCATTTCTCACATAAGAGTAATGAATCATTTGTCATCCTCTTTGGTCTATTGAATTAAATGTCTCATTCTTTAGGGACATGCAGAGATGAAAAAGATTTGGTGGGTTTCAGAGGCTTCATGGTTGAGATTCCAAGTTGGGATGGTTGTGGTATAGTTTAAGCTGAATAAATGATTTCAATTTTGGGCAGTTTTTCTGCCTTTTGTAAAGCCATGGCCAGTGGTCTCCTATAGTGATCATTGGTTCAGGCATGTTGTGCTTTGTAGGGGCAAATGTGCAGTTGTTTGTGGCAAAAGCCTAAAAATGACAAAAGTTGTAAATTTTTTGTATTTAAACTAGCTGTAACCTATCTTTGGTGTTTACCGCTTTTGTAATTTTTTCCTTTGAAAGTGAAAGGGTGTGGTTCAGGATGGCACTTTGAGTAATGTAAATCGGTGGAAGGTGGATTTTCTTTTGTCTTTTTTTTTTTTTTTTTC